GTGCTACCTAGAACCACTTCCTCCGGCATATGCAGAAGGCATATGTCATGTACTTCCGTTGTTGGTTTAGATGCTTTCGCAGGCAGCAGGTCTTTTAAACATAATGCTGCCGAGACAAGTTTTAGATGCTTGGGCAGGCAGCAGGTCCTTTAAGAATGCACCTGGCAAGACCAACACCATGCAGACAACCCGAAGTTAGCCTACACCCCCTAAGCCCTAAATTCTAAACAACCCTCAACCCTGAGCCGAAAGCATCGTGTTGCAGATCCGAGGTCAGTGTGGTGCTCGTCCTCTTGATCTGCAAGCCGTTTCTGTGCTTTGCTTGTACCGGGGATGACCGGGTAGCTGCTACGTCGTAGCTTTAGGGCTTTTAGGGTTTAGGGTTTTAGGATCTATGGGCTTCGGTCCACGTTTTTATGTTTTGTTGACATGGGCCACGCATGTATGTCAGTCGTTACAACAAGTCAGGGCTTCTCGCATTCTCTAAGCACCTCTTTTCGGAAGCATCGGTGTGCAGCTATATGCCAGCCAGTGACTGCGGGCATTGACTAAACCCTAAGCCCTACAGCGCTCCGTGGTGGTGCTTGAACGCTCCGTACTTCGAAGCCGGCAGTTCCAGGGCTCCCAATCTCTTCGTCCTTCTTCGTTTACTCTTTCGCTTCCAGTCGCGCAGTAGTTCCATGCAGTTGAACCCTAGGCTCCAGTTGCCTGTTGCTGGGGCACATACTACATGGTTAGTATTAGGGATGTCATAGGGGTTGCAGGGTTGGGGGGTCAGAGTTCAAGGCTTACAGCGAATGCACAGGGTCAATTTTAATGCTAACCTGCTATCTAGGCAACTGCAGCCCCCTCCCCACGAAACCCTAAACCCGAAACCCTCAAGAGCACTATAAGTAGACATTGTTTGAATTTTGCTTCGAACTGCATCTTGATTAGTTTCGACAGTTCATCAGACGTCTGCGAGGAGGCCCCGCCAGCCCAAACCCTAAACCCTAAACCTCCAAGACCCAAGGCCCAAGAGCCCTGGCAGGCACCTCCTTAAGGACGACATGAACCTTGAAAGGGTTTAGGGTTCATATACCATATAGGGATTACTAGTATAAGGATATAGGGCCCCTACTTTTAAGGATCATTTCGTCCTTAAGGCTGTCTCGATTGGCGCAGCCCAGCCTCCGTGGCCAGTCCAGCCCACTCAGCCCCGCAGTCCAGCCCGCCGGCTCGGCCCAGCACCAGATTCGAAAACAAAAGCAACAACAATAGTCGTCTCGCTCGAAACTTTCGGTCGGATTCCCGGACCCAAAACCCTATAGAATTTCTAGAAACCCTAAGCCCTAATCTCTAAACGCTAGCTCTCCCATTGCAGAAGTCGAAGGTTATGAGCATCCCCAGGCCCGGCGACCATCGTGGTCTTAGCAGGGGCAGCCAGAGTGCCCATCAGCCCTTCACTACAGCATTTCATGCATGCATACACAGATGCTTACATGCGTGCATGCATACACACGTATGTATATATATATATATACACATACAGGTAGATAGATATGCATACATACATATATGCAGACACACATATGTGATCCCGGTTCGGCCGCCCCCCCCC